GCCACACATGGTGATAGCGGTGGGATACGAATACCCTGCTGTTTACTGAGGTGGAATCCCTGCACCCACCACACATGGTGGAAGTGGTGGGATCCGAATACCCTACTGTTTTACAGGCATAATTTGGGAAGAGTAATAGAGTCACTGAAATCCCTTGAGCAAACAATTTCTAATTTGGCATCGGGTCGACCGGATAGTGTAGATAGCCAGGATGGCAGACCAGTACGTCCAAATGACCACGCCTGAGCTAAAAGATCTGGCGAAAGAGAGAGGCCTTCAAGTAAAGAAAGGTGAGCTGGAGTTGAAAAAGATGGAGCTGGAGGCCCAGCGTGAGCGCGAAAAGGCTCAGCTGAAGCTGAAAAAGATGGAGCAGGAGGAGAAAAGGATGGAGCAGAAGGCCCAGCGTGAAGAGGCCCAGCGCAAGCACGCTTGGCTCCATACCTCTGTGAAGCTACGGATCCAAGCTTTTAAAGGAGGGGGGGGATGTGTGGCAGAAAGCTACCTTGGTTTCTCCCCGAAAATCTCTGCCCTGTGACACTGTGATTAAAATCTCTGTGCTGAGACCATTTGATTAGGGTGGGCCCAGCAGAGGAGACCACACCCTCAGCCTGTCTCTTTAGGTAACTTGAGCTGGCTGCATTCCTGAGGGAGGGGGGAAACCTGCTCCCTCTGCCTACCTGACTTGCATCACTTACCTGGGTAAGAGGTTTCTACCTGGTGGGTTGGAATCTGCCCGGCAACTAGTGATGTATTTCAAATGGGTTGGCCGACAGCCAACCGGAGCTGGCCTCCACGGGCCCAGGTGTATGAGGTCACAGGGGCTGTATAAGTTAGGACTGCCCGGAAGGCGGTCTCTTCAGCCATGAGGTGAGGCTGGAGGCATGGAGGGGGCAGTTCAGAGAAGCTGTACCATCTAAAAGTAGCTTCTCCCCCAAAAACTCATGAACAAGGAACAGCCAGATGCTAGGAAGGATCTCACCAGCCTCTGGATGAAGCGTGTGAGTAAGCTACTCGAGATCTGATAGATATCTAGCTGGCAGTAACTCAGATGCGTGATCAAAAGGCTACCACAGCCAGACTGTTTGCTCTTTAGGATTTCTAAGATATTGCTCAATCTTGTACCCTGTTTTCACCCTACCCCTGTACTCAATAAAGTCCTCTTTTGTGACTGGTGTGGGAGACTTATTGAGGGGTGGGTCTAAATTATGCCTAAGAGACCCCTTAGGTCTGCGAACTAAGGGAGACTATAGCTTTTTGCCCCCGGACTTGGGGAAGTGCCCCAAGTGCCTGTACTGGGTTGAGTACCAGTAGGACTTTAGGCCTGTGTTACCCCAAGGACACAGGGCCGAAAAACAGTCCATTCTTGGGGTGATGGCAGCACGTTACCCCAGGCTAGCGAGTGTGCTCCAGGGAGGGGGTTGGCTGAACATAAGGCGCCCCTAGGGAGGCATTCGGAGCCTGGAAGGTGGTCGGGCACAGGGAGGTGGGCGGCTCAATGCAGGAGCGCCCCCTACTGGCCCGCCACAGGATATACCAAAACTTTATAACTTGATCTTTCCCTATACCACAATGTAACAGGACCACAACTAAAGGCAGGTATGGCACCTCCTGGGCTAGGGACAGAAATTACACATAATCCGGTTTAAGTGATCAGAAACTGGTTTAAACCTATGACAGAACAGACATTCAGCGCACATAAACCAGTTTGAAAATGGCTGAAACCGGTTTGAGATAAACCTGGCTGAATGTAGTATCAGACTTAACTGATTTGGGTCGAACTGGGTTTATGCAATGTCTGTCCCAGACCCCTTGCTGGTTTAAGTTAAATCAGACTCCCCCAGCATCCCGGCATGCTCTCTGGGCTGGGCAGGGCTCTTTGCTCCGAAGAGCTGGGCTGGCCCCTTCCCTCTGCTACCTGGCTGGAGCTCTGGCAGAGACTTACAGGCACAGCAGGGTCTGATAGCTTCCCCATGCCCCTCTACCCTCCTTCCCCCCTCACTGCTTAAGCAGAGATCCCTTCCTCCTCTCTCCCACAGCACGGATCATAGCCAGCATTTGGTATGCTAGCTTATGCTACGTAAGGCAGATAGGCCAGTGTCTGCCTTGGGCTTTTTGGAGCTAATCAACAGATCAGCTGGCAATGTCCCTGCATTCCTTTCTTTGGAAAAAGTTGTTTAAGAAGAGCTTGAACTAATGAGCAAGGCTTTGTTTTCTGATGAGGTGCTAAATGCTGATAGCAGAGCTGATAAATGCTCTGTTATCAAGGGGGTGGGGGACCCCTCCCTAATCAGAGGGTCTTGCTGGGGCCTGGCCATGCCCCCTCAGCTCAGCCCTGTGGAAGGGAAGGGAGGGCTGCTCTAGCCTCCCAGGGTTTCTAGCTTGAGACTGCAAGCATATGCCAGCATTTTTTCAGTCCAGAAGGGATGTCTGTATGGTTACAAAGTTATTTAGCCTAGCAAAGATTTAGATTAACCTGCAAAGATTGAATCAATTCAGGCATAGGTTTTCTGAATGTCTGTCCTTAGTCCTGGTTTATGCAATGTCTGTCCCAGACCCCAGGTCCATATAATCCCGTCTTTTCTCCTCCCTGATTAGTCAGGGTACCTCTCTGTGCTTGCCCACCACACTTTTGATGTTATGTTAATTTGGGGGGTTGCCCCAGTCTACCACAGTGATTCCTTCACTTCTCAGGCACAGTTCAGTTCATTGGGCCCTCAGCCTGTGCCCCAACAAATGACTAACAATCCTTTATTGCTTGCAGCACCTTCCCCGGACATCATCAGTGTCCTCTTTGCACTCCACCCACTGCCATGCCTCACAGTTATAACTAGCAATATAAATCCAACCTGACACATGACCAGTTGCAGCAGGGTGCTTTTCTCCAGGCCTCTTCCCCAACTTGTCCTCAAATCACATTGACATCGCCCAGCTTGGGCCTCCCTGGTCCTATTCACAGGTCCATCAGCCTCCATTGCAGCTTCTTCAGTCAGTGCAGGGAGCTCCTTTAATAGCACAGTCTGGGCCAGTCTGCGGTTCCTAGTACTGCTTCCCTCAGCTCCCAGCAGGTAACTCCTACCTCTGGCCCTGCTCAGATCACACTGGGTCTTTGCCTCTGGTACAGGGCTTATATAGTTCCCGGTGCCTCCTGTTACATAGAGCCCATACCTTTTAATAAAGGAGATCTGGAGAAACATTTCAGTCAAAATGATAGACAATAAGGAGAAACAGAGGGTGTAGGTAAAGGCCACATGTTTAAAGGCATTCTAGAGCAGAGGTTCCCAACAACAGCACTGCCACCCGGTACTGGGCTGTGGTGGGTTGCATGCCAGGTCGTGGCTTCCGCCACCAGCAGGCAGCGGGGCACCCCTGGGAGGCGAGCAGCTGGCTCCATGCGCCTCATCCCACCACAATGGCCATGCCCAGTGAGGCGCTGCCCGCAGCTGGGGAAATGCCTGGGGCCAAGGATGGGGAGATGGGTCTGCTGCTTGCTCCTAGGAAAGGCAGCAGAGCCCCTTCTTCCTAAGCAGCCCCAGCTGGGTCCCCTGGGCCATTGCCTACACAACCCGCCCCCCTGCAGGGTCCCCCTGTACCTGCGGCTGCAGTGCCCCAAGCCAATCCAATCCTTGCACCCCTCCCCCCCATAAAAATTAAAGATGTAAATTAAATCTAAATATGTAAATTAGATAGTTTTCCAGTCTGCAGTATAAAAAGGTTGGGAGCCACTGTTCTAGAGCATAACTCCCACCGCAAGCCACCTAAATGATTAAAAACCATGCCTCTAACAGTCTAGAGACAAAGGTTAGATAATATATTTTTGGTGAATAGGTTATTCACCAGACATGCAATTTTCCCCTAAAATAACTGGGAAAAAATTGAAAAAGTCAAAGTTTTGTTTTGACATTTGTGAAATGAATCATTTCAGCTTTTTGTTACAAAGTTATATTGCATGTGGTGGCTTAAAAACATTTATTTTTCAAAGGAGGGGATAAAAACACCCTCAAAAAATAAAAATACATTTTGGGTCAGATGAAAAAAAAAAGGATTCAACAACCTGAAAGTATTTTTTATTCAGTTAGCTTTTGTTTCCAGTTTCTTGAAAGAAAACAAAAAAGATTTTGTTTTGGGTTAACCTGACATGAATATTTGTTTCTCAATTTTTTGTTTGGGCCATCAGCCACAAATGAGTTATTCTCACAGCCCTTCCAGAAATGGGTTGAGGAACTCCATACCGAATGGCACTTTGGCCTGTTAGGCTTAGTAAGGCTGCATTTTTAGTATAACTGTAAAGGAGACCCGCAGGAAAAGTTGCTAGGTGCTCTTCACAAACGTAGATTGGTTTGATTTCCAGCTCCTTCATAAGCACAATTAGCCTTCATGCACATTACAGCTGCTACCCAGCTCAGTAAATCAGTGCATTAGATGAGTCTTCTGTCTCGATTTTGACAGAGGAGTGTAAATGGCACCAGTCTTGGCTGCGTAGAGCAGCACTTCAGACTGGATGGATGAAGGATAAGCATCACTGCAGTGCCACTTATGACATAAATTACCTTCAGCCAAATTTTCCTCCTAATTCCCAACAGTCCATGGTTGGCTTGGGACAGTGGCAAGAGCATGTCTACCTGAGAGCAAAGCACAGCACAGCCCATCCCCTACTGCTTTTCCTTGCAGGTGCTCTCATGTTTTTCAGTTCCTCTGGCACGCAGGGGCCTCGCTGTGCTGTGGTGGTGCTTTTATTTTGCATGGTGGTTGATACTTTCAGTCACAGTTTTGTATATAAAAAGTAATGATGCTGTTGGGGTGTCATTTGTACTAATAATGCCCCCTTTTTCTCCCCCCTCCCCTTCTCCCTCACCCATTGTACATTGTATGTGTGTGTGTCTCTCTGCTTCTGGATTCTTCCTTCCCCGCTTGCCCTCCTCCCTCTCTGCATGGCTTCAAACTCTCGCGCTTCTGTACTGGCTGCTCCCACCTGGTGAATGGTGGCTCTTGTCTCTCATTAGATAGTTATGCTTCAGCCTCAGGTGAAGAACAGCGGGTAGGTGAGAGGGATTCCGTTTGCACTTCCCGTTCCCGTCATGGGTCTCCCCCACCTACCACTTCTTCGCCCCACTCACTCAGTGACTGTGTCGGCAGGCCCGTGCCCTCCCAGCCCGATCCCTGCTTGATGGACGAGAGTTGGTTTGTCACCCCTCCCCCCTGTTTTACTGCAGAAGGCCCTGCCCCTGTCAACATGGAGAGCAACCCTATGGAGGACCTCCTGATTGAACACCCCAGCATGTCCGTCTATGTCACCAGCAACAGCATCATGGTGGAAAGGGAGAGCCCTGATGAGCAGATCAGTGAAGGGTGAGTCTGGCCATAGTGCATTGTGGATCATAGTAATAATAATGCTATTGCTTTTCTATGTAGCCTTTTTGAAAAGTGACATCTCCCCTGCTTTACAGGTAGGGAGACAGAAGAACAGAGGAGTTGGGAGACACGGCCAGGGTCACACACACAGAGTCAGTGGCAGAGCTACAATTACAGCTTAGGTCTCCTACTGTCCCTGAAGTATTGTGGGGGGGAGCCTTACCCAGTGGATAGAGCACTCTTAACATTCAAGTAATGCTAAATGGCTAGACATTTAAAGAAAGATTCCCCTGTGAAGGAGGGGAGTATCAGAGTTTGTACAGCCCTATCTTCAGAGGAGTGTTTTTTGTGATAATGTTATGTGTTACTATAAACTGCCTTATGTCCACATGTACGAATTCTTTATTTGGTTTGTCTGGAACCTTACCCCAGTTTCAATAATCTGCTCTGGGACATACATACCTCCTGCTGGAATGAGTTAGCACAGGCTAAGATTGGGTATCTGCACCCCTATTAGTTACACCACTTCTGGCAGTCCTTCTGCGCTATCCCATATTCACATCTCCATGACAGCAGCCAGGCCCTCTGCTACTGCATGGACCTTCTGGAGAGAGGAACGGGTCCAGTCCTATTTGAACAGCAATTACCCAGATGCCACAAGTTAGCAAAGCAAAGGTAGGAAAAGAGAGTGCTCCTGGGACCCTCACTGGATCCAGGAACGGGACAGTCGGGGTGTGGCCTCCTCTCACTTTGGCTGTGCTGTGCATGCCCAGTGACCTCTGAGCTTACTGTACAGTCAGCACTGGCTCCTGCCAGAGCTCAGTGTGAGCAGTAAGTTCTGAGCTCATCAGCTGCGTGGGCTGGGGTCTGGCTGGGACCCTGCTTTTGCTTGGCTCCAGAGCCCAGTGGGTGAATGCTACTGCTGTTCACCTTTCCCTTCCCCCTGCTTCCCTGCTAAATTCAGCAGCAGGGGAAAAGAGGGGAGGAGCAGCAGTGAATGCATCCACCCCCTGGGCTCCAGAGTTGTGGGTAAGCAGGGACCCCAGGCAGACCCTGCACTAAGAGCTTATGTGCGGCAAAAGAGGATGTGCATGTGCTACTGCACCCCGTCTGGATCCACCCCTTTCTGGGACTTGGCTTAGTGCTGCATGGAGCAAAGGAGCTCTGGCAGAGCTCCAGGAATACTGGGGATAAGAAAAGGATCCTAGGGAATGCTCCAGAAACCTGCTTGCACTCTGAGGAGCTGGGTTGGAGGCCCTCACTGACTCCAGCCTGGAATTTGAAACAACTTGGAGATGATGCAGAATGGCACCCAGATGGCTTTGGAGTCTGACCTGGAGGGATTTCCCCAGGCAGTCAACATCTGTGTGGCCTCCAGACCCCCCATCCAAAGCTCCTCCACTGAAACTCAGGAAGAGACCCAGCCTGACACTACAGTGTGTTTATGTGTTTATTGAGGAGTAAAGGGAAGGGAGCTTTACATGTATTATATGCTATATGGCAATAGAAATATGTAGGGGGATTTCAAGAGCCTTCTTTTGGGTACTGACTGGACGCCATCCTGTTACCCATGAGCCTCTTGGTGTAACAGGGTGCTCCCCACCTGCTCAGCTTTCTTTGTGCTCAAGGTGGTGTCCAAGCTGGAGCCTTTCATCCTGGGGACGATTCATATCCCTGAACTAACAAAACCCAGTATTATCAGCCAAACATGCCACTTCCCATCTTCCTTCCTGTGCTGCTCGATTCTTTTTCTCCTACTCACCAAGCCATCTTCTCCCATTTGAGATGACAGGACCACAAAAGCTAAAAGTCATGTACATGGAGGACAGGTGTATGTATTGGAACAACAGATATAAAGAAAAAAGCATAAAAAACAGTAGAAAAAATCACTTTGGCTCTTGATTTGATCAGTTCCCTGGGCTTTAACTTCTTTTACAATTTGAAGTAAGTTACTGAAATTAGTCTTCAGAGTTATTTCTGAATACACAGTGATTATAATTAGACCCTCAGAACTGTTAACACATTGGGTTTAGAAGAATTGCTGCAAAGTCTAACTTGCAGTGCATTTTATGCTGCTCTGCAGGTGTTATGAAAGAGGATGTAAGACAAAAATGATGGGGCATCTCAATAAGAATGTTGTCCCGTCAACTCCTGGCTTTGGGTGGGGGGATCATCCTGAAAAACAGTAGCATTTTCTTGGTTTGTTTGTTGCCTTTTTGGATAAGGCCCTCCTCTGCCTCATGAGGATACAGCTCAGTGTAGCACCTCCAGTGTAAGGACCTCTTGTATAGGTAAGGATTTGAAATTACTTACGTACCCAGCCCCATTGGTACAGGAGCTTTTTACCGAGTGAAAGTAAGGTGGAACCCAGGTCTCTGGGTTTTAAGTTTGCACTATTATGCTGAATCAATAAAGTTTTTGTTACGTAGGACTTAGCTAAAAAGTTTCTTTAAGGGGAAAACCTTCCTTAATGGAATCAGTTCCTCATAAACTCTTGGCCTGAACACACTGAATGCACTTGGTTACGCACCTTCATTTTCCAACACTACATCCTGGCCTCAAAGTGGAAGCAAATGCATCCCTGACACTGTCTCTGTGACCACACAGGATCCCTGTAGGTGGCACACAGTTCAGGTGTTAATAACATCCAGAAAATCCCACACCCAGCAGGCTTCCCAGCCATCAGTGGGGGGCCCTGCCTTGCTTGACACAGCAGCTGGGCAAAATATGAGGTAGATTTTGCTTGGAAGCTTTGTCATGAGGCACCTCCACCTTCCCTTCAGCCTTTGAAATGCCTACTCCACTAGCATTCTGCAGCTGTTCAGGGTAGAGATAAACAGCTAACTTCTCCTGTTCAAGTGTCAGGGAAGCAAGATGGTAAGCCAGATCTCTTAGAATGATGGATGAATCTTGTCACCATTGAGATTCTTAGTGGTTCAAAGAACAGAAATTCACTGAATGGAGGAGGCCAGAGTTTCTAGAGCTCCTCACAACCTGAACTCTTCCATACCTACCACCCTATGACTGGTGAATCTGCCCCAGTGACCACCCAGGTTCTTCAGCACCATGGGAAAATACCTTTCTGTTGATGACTTCAGGGTCTGATTTGGGGGAGGAGGGCAGAGAATAATCATGTAGGTTCCATCAGTGACCCACACACAGTTAGGAACTCTTGACTATGAACGTCCATTAATAATCTCCTGTGCATTGCTAAGCTTCATGACCCTCTGTTGTGTTAACCTGGATGATTAATCTATTGTAACCACCTAGTTAGCCACTGACAGCAATTGGGGGTGGTGAGCTTCCAGACAGGGGTGGCCTTGTGCTTCTCCAGGCTGAGGGGAACTTGCATGTAGGTGTTCCACCATGATAGCTCTGGAGTGAGCTTTGCACAGGCGAACGTCTACTGCATCCAGACGTTCTTCTGTCACTGCTGATCATTTCAGGTCTGCTAAACTATCCAGTCCCAATATTCACTACTCATTGACTGAGCCCAGAATTGGTCATCCATAAAGTTGCTTCAGGAAAATGTCCTGCAGAAGTAACTGCTTCATCTTCCAGTCAAATTGCTACAAGATCCTCATGGCTGTCTCCCCATTCACTCAAAGCCATTTGGCTGTGTGACTGACAGCTTATGTATTAACAGGTATCAGATTTGCTGGCTTCTTTCTCCAAAACCTGACAAGGGTTTGAACAATTTGTTGATGCACCTGCTTCAAAAGTTATAAGAGGGTATTTATAGGAGAAAAATATTGAAAACAATGTTCTATGTAGACAAGGAACTTGGATCCACTTGCTTCTTGCTGCCCTCTTAGGATTTACAATGCTCACTCTGAAGGATGGATGTGCACTGCTTTAAGCTTATGAATTCTTCTCCCTCCACTCAGCACCTCTGCTTCTCCTTCTCCTTGGTCCTGCAATTAAGTTGTATTTCTGAGGGTAAAAATTCTCCACTCCAGAATTCTGTTGTCCCTAATGTCTAATCTACCTCCCTCCCAGGGAGGAAAATAACACAGGGCAAGGACAAGGAAAGCCCTGTGCTTTTCAGGTGAACTCCTCCTGCAAGACAGTAGTGATCCTTTCTCCCAGGCACATACATCCTGCCATCAAGGAGTAGCACACTTCACAAACAGTTTGAGGAAGTGTGTCTAGCATGGTGTGTCACAAGCCACTCAGGTTGCTCATCTCTGCTGCTGGTGTCACCAACTTACTTTCCTTTGGGCACGTCTACATATGAATATTAATGCAACGCAATAAACTCCAGCACAGTTTGTACCAGAGTTTATTGCTCCCAGATGCAGCATTTACATGTGCGCCTGGGACCACAGCACATTGAGTCAGGGCAGCACAGTGTGGCAGCACCACCATGCCCTAGCCAACACCTACACATGCACTGCAGCAGAGTAAATAACTCCGCCATAACCTAGTACTTGTATCTGGCAGTACTAACCTACAGCAGAGTTAAATTGTTTACTCTGACCTAATAACTTTACTTGTATAAACAGAGATGTTTTACTGTGGATCTAATTAGTTTACTCTGCAGTAAAGGTCTCATATAGCGGCACCCTCTGTTTCTGAAAAAAATCAAACTGAACTATCTTGCAAGCACAGCCACTGGGCAGGCAGACAAAGGACCAAAGGGGGATACGAACAGCCATAAAGCTTGCAGTATTAAAACACCATGATAATGCAGGTCTTAGACATCATAATTATTTATACAGCAGAACAGATGGTCCTGGCCCCATTCTGGATGGAATTTATGGGCCAGTCTTAGTCAAGCCAGAGGGCAATGCTAAGCATCATCTGTTCTTATTTAATTCATCCTTTGCAGACCTCTTCCTCCTTAAAGCCAAAATTTGATCTTGAGTCACTGGAACATGGAAATCAGTGGGTGAAAAAATGAAGGAAAATTGCTATGAATAATAGTTAAAAGTAGAGGGAAAATTAAGACAGCTTGAGCTGTTCATGATTCCTCTCATCTGCTCTGTTGAGAAGGAACATGGTTTAACAGCAGCAGTCACTTTATCTTAGAAAACCCTTCATCTGTTACTAGCTGTGCTTATTGCAGATTTTTGACCCAGTATGCAGGGCTCACCTGCCTGATGAAGTTGTTTTTTCAGTCAGAATTCAGAAAGCCATGTAATTTGGAAAGGGCTTTGAACAAATGTGACTTAAAAACATCTAGCTACAATAGGACTTGTGCACTGGTGATGGTTAAGAGACAGGTGTGAACTGCATGCGAATAACTAAGCCAAAGGGAGCCTATGATAAACATAAACGTTTTGCTGAAGGGATGGAGGAAACCGATTTAAATCTCCTCTAAATTTGGCCTTGTGTGCATTTGTGTCTAAAACATACATGTATCCCCACCCACATGCACGCATGCACACACACACAGAGACAACTTAATATTGATTAAGGGGATGTCAGATTGTTTAATATCCACATTTTTAAGAATGAAGCTGATGTTGCTGATACTGCAAATTTAGGGCGATTAATGCACGCCTGTAATCTTTGTATTGGATTAGACTGAGGATCTATTTACACGGTTCTCTCATGGTCTTCAAAGAAGTTCTTGGTTTTGCCAGGCTTGGTGACGGACTTGCCTCTCCTCTTGCACTGCAGACGCTTTGTGTATTTGACTGAGAGGGCACTGCCAGGAGTTTCACAAATAACTCCATCTAGCACAGTCCATAGGCAGTTGATGCCTTCATGTTTAGGGTATGCAAAGGGGTATCTGTGCAACTGCCTGTCTGACAGCATTGTGAACTTGACCGTTAATGTGCATGTCTCTCACTTTAGGGAGGTGCCTGAACCCCGGTTGGAGCGCCACACTCCACATCACACCACCTCCCTCACCATGAAAGCCACCATCTTGGAGAAGGTGAGCCAAGTCCGGCGGATCCAGAGGGCAAAGCAACTGGCAGAGAAGCACAAGCTCAGTCAGAAGGTTATGCAGCGGCAGAACCGCACCAGGGAGCGCCATTCACGTCGGGCCAAACACCAGGGTAGTTTTGTCTACCAACCATGCCAGCGCCAGTACAACTACTAAACTACTTCAGGAAGTCTACATTGCGGGGCATTATCCCTTAACTCTCAGCTTCACTTCTTCCCTCATAATGCTTTTTCCAGCTGAAGAGGTCTTCATCCTTTCTCTGAAATAAACCTCTCCTCAGGAGAGAATCCTCTCAATTCTTCTGAACTAGCAAAGCTCAGCAGCAGATCCTTATTGGGCTATCCTTGGGTTTCATCCCTCTCCTTCCCCTTTATCCTAGACTAAATTTACTTATCTATTATTTTCTTCCTTCTGTAGTTCCACACCTTTCCCTCCCCCGTGCTCCCCACTGTGGATTTTGAGTAACCCAGGATGTCACCCTAATGTAACTTAATAGGATGGTGGATCTACTTTTAAATTTCAAAACAGAATTTAAAATTAGAGCTAAATTTTATGGAATAACCTATGTGTAAGCAGTTATCCTTGGGAACTGATTCCTGATGGGTGGTGTTTCCCCAATCCTTCACACCCTATACGTGCATAAGTTCTTCCATCTGTTCTTGCAATGGTTGTTAGCTCCACATTTCACTAAACTTATCACCAATATTATTCTGAATTCATGGGAGGGCTAAATTCTCTGTCATTTACTTTGTCTCTTGCCATCCTACTAAGGAGCCTGTGACACCAGTGCCTTTTTTTATGACATCATACTCTTCTCCATGGAAACAAACTGTGATGTCACAAACTGAGATAGCAGGTTCAAATGCAAATTGGAATGACAAAGATACACAATTTGGCCTAAAATACAGGAAAAGTAATGGGAAATATTTCCCTCCCCACTCTCTCTCTTTCTCTCAAAAGAAAAGGATGATGTAATTAACCCAGTAGATGGGTTTGGGGTATGATTACTGATCCTTATCTGTGTGGTATTAGCTAGGTTTCTGCTCCAAGGTGCCAGGCTGAAACAGAGGACACCCTGCCTGAACACCTTCAGAGGGAATATTTAATACCTGATGTTCAGAAGTGCTGAATACCCTTAATTCCAACTGAAGTTCATGGGAGTTGTGGGCATTCAGCCCTTCTGGAAATCAAGCCAATGTGATATAATTGGAGGTGTTAATCCTGCATTTACTTTTTTTTTAAAAGAGTGCAAAGTCCATGTTAGTGTTCTGATGCTTTCTATTTACTTTACCTTTTCTTACAATACATTTGTTCCACCCACTCCAAAGAGCTTGCTTAATGGACAAATGTTAAAACTCTAAGCAGATTACCAGTGTTGAACCTGGTTAGGAGCTCAGGAGCTTGTAGAAGGACACAAAAAAACCCCAGCCTTGCAATACCACCAGGAAAATTCTTCACTGGCTTAGGCAACAAACAATCTCCTTATTCCCCGCCCCCCCCAAAAACCAAACAAAAACCCAAAACAAAACAAAAAAACTCTCAAATGTCTTGCTTGCAATGTTTCATGATGATGATTTACAAACAAATCATCCTGCAGAAAAGGAAAATCTCACCACAGCCAGCAGGCTGATTGGAAATCTGTGTGGTGGATTATCCAAGTGATTGCAAGCAGAATGGAGGTTTTAAATGGGAGAAAGAGATTCCCTCCCTGCTTTAAAACTGATTACTATTTCCTTAACCTGTCTGTACCATTGAATTCCTAGTGAAAGGTGCTCTCTTTTCTTCACTGATTTGGGTGACCTCAAGAGGCCAATAATCTGGAAATGTCTAAAAAATAGGTCTTGGTAGTGTCCTAAAAATGAAACCTTTGGAAGCAAAACCACCAACTGGAATTGTGTAAGCCCCATCGCCCAGGGAACCAGGGGGATAGCAAGAGGGGCCAATCATCACCATGTGACTGTCTCACCACAAGGAAAGCCTCCAGGGAATAGAGCAGAAGGAGAAATTGGTAACTGTTCTGTGAGCAGGTAGGGGTCTCAATCCCAACATCCAACTTTCAGACATCCACAGGGCAGCAGCAAGGCGGTACAGGACTCATTATGCTGAGCAAGGGTATGTAAATCATGCTGTCATCTCCCTTTGCATCTTTCCTCTCCTCTCTAATGGCTCCTCTGTGGCTTACTCATCCTTCAGGCAGAAGGTGCCTCTGTCTTCCTCAGTGCACCTGTAAGGGCCAGAGGGACTCATTGCAAAGACATGAGGCACCAGATAATTCCAGGGATATTGGCATTGTCTTTGTAGTATTGCCAGCCTGCCATTCAAAGCAAACACCTTTTTGGATGGTGAAAGTCCTTCAACAAGCTCCTAAATTAAGCAGTAAAACATTACTGGTTACCAAAACCCTTAGTTCTCAGCAGGAAAATTCTTCTTCACAATGCTATGACTGTGCCTGTCCAGCTGCCATGTTAAATTTGTGGAATGACAGCAGAGAAAGGGGCTTGTTCAGTGCTCACACAGATAGTAAAGTATGTCGAAGCTGGCCATGAAATGATGTGAAGTGAGAGAGGAAGTGAGAGAGATTGGGAAATGAAGAAAGGTGAAAGGAGAGAGTCTCATTTGAGAAAATAGGTTGGAAACAGGAGTGGTGGAGAAGGTGCAAGCCCGGGGCAAGAACTGTGTGTTGTAGATCTTAAGTCTGCCTTCCTGGAAAGAGATATGGCAGGTCCTCTCTTCCAGTGTCACAGGCAGGGCTGACTTTCTGCATTCTGATAGTTTCTAGGTTGCTGTGGGAAATACTGCTCCAAGAGTTCAAATGGGCAGAAGTTCATTTGTGTAGTCAGAATAACAACATGTGCCCTTTTTATCTGAGTACTCTCTGATGTGAATAGCTCAGTTCATTCCCAGTATAACTTGGTTTTAATACAGATACACCAAATATGAATTTAGCCCTGAGTATGTTTATCCTTGAAAAGCCACTGTCAAGGTAAAAAAAATCATACACTAATAACACATGGGCTAAGTAAAACTGTAAATATTTAGTGAATTACTTTTCTCCTTTCAAGATCATGATTTCCCATATATTTTACTTCACTCACTCCTCTGGTGTGTCATTTCCACACACATTTGTACACTGCTTTTGTACAGTGTAGGTTCCATCATGCAAGGCAAGAGCAAAATCCCCAAATGAACTGCTTTCTTTGGATTATCTTTGATAAAATGTTATTAAGAACCCTTCATTTCATATTAGGTTTTTGGAATCTTTTTTTTTAATAATATTAAATATCGGGCCGATACTATCTTAGTGTCTGTTTAAAACTTTTAATAATTGAGCTCCTGAGCATTTTAATAAACAAACTTAGAAAGACCAGCTTCCAGGAGCCATGATGGACAAATCTGCTAGCATGGAGGTGGGCTAATATCACCTTGCTTGTAGCCTCTAGATATAATGTAGGTGACATGGGAGCCTGCCGCAATGCAGGATCAAATATTTTATTTTAAATAGTTTTTAAAGTTTCAATTTTAATTTAATTTTTTAATTGTAAATAGTTGTTGAATTTCAGCACAATATACTATAGATTTGAACCAGCCTTGAACTCTCCAACCATTCTAATTCAGGGCCTTTCAAAGTTTTGTGTGTATCTGTACTAAGATTGGGTGCTCAACTGTTACCAATGAGCAGAAGGCTCTTCTGGGGGATGGAAATAAGTTTGAACCTGCTTTGGTTGAAAGAACAGAGCCGGACAAAGGTTAACAACCAGCAATACGACCCTGTGGTAGTAGAAAGGAAGCATCAAGCAGCTATTTCTGATTAAATCCTTAGTAAATAAAGTAACTAAAGATGGCTCTCAACCAATAATCCAAATCTGAGCTTCAAAACAAACACACACCTTTGAAGAAGTTCCAGTTGGGATCCAAATTCTGTAGCCTGGACCCATTTTAAATGATCTCTGCTTTCATTAGTTAAGGGGAAAATTCCCATAGACACAGGATCAGCTATTTAATCCTCTTTATTTTTGCACTCTTGTCAGTGGAGTCATCAGAGTGTGTTTTCACAGATCTCTTGGCAAGGCAGTTTAAGTGCTGTTAGAGAGAAAGAGAGAGAGCTTAAACTTCCAGTATTCCTTCCCATTGTCATCACAGTAACCTCATGACCTATTGATGCATTCTTGGTGTTGTCTCCAGGAGCTGAAGCAGGGAAAGGAGTGATGGATGATTGGTTCCTTACTGCTGAAGCTAACACCAAGATAGTATGGAGTCAAGACAAATATGTATTGGTGGGATTTTTTGTGGTTGATTCTCTACCAGGGACTGGCAACTTCTTGACTTGCTAGAAAGTTTACAACCTTTCACTTCCTTGGTTTCACATTAAATGCCTTTTTCTTAGAGTTACCCCTGGCACAAATGGAAAGGGTGCATTAGTTCATGAAAACTGTCTGAAGTGCTTGCAAGGGCAGTAAGGGGATATGTCCCAAGCACTTACAGGTCTGTGTCAGATTTCAGAGGTTTTTAAGATGCAATGTAGATTTGGGGTTATCATTTTGGAGATTGAGTCTGGTCAATGTGTTCTGCAGCACTTAGGCTGTTCCAGGCCTTAGCAAAAGACTTCCTTGCTGGAAAAGACATACCTAAAGATCAGTAATTTGCTGCCTCTCAGCCCAGCTTTTGCCTGCTGCACTTGCAAAGTAGACACTTCCCCCACTTCTGACAAGCACAAATCTAACATGACATCTTACTTGCCAGGTTCCCAAACCTTTGAACTCTGGCAAAATTTGCAGTTGCATGTTATATTGTGAGTTTTCCTCTGCAGCTCAAACAGAAGAAAACTGTCTGGGAGGCAGCAAAGTTGCCTAAGAAATGCAAAGAGCTTTCTGTGAATGTCATTCATATTGCACTACTTTATGGATCTTGTGTCTGCTAATTTGTTGGAAAACCTTTCAGTAAGAGAAGTCCCTCTTCAAAATCATCCTATGCTTCCCCTGCTACCCTCTCTGGTTTGGGACAGAGAGAAGCAGAGACAACTCCATTAGGGCCTAAACCAGCAGCGACCAATGTTAAAAGCAAAATCATCTTGACCTCAGCATTGTAGGATGAGATTCTAGAGCACCATTAGCACAGTGGCACTGGGTGCAATACCCAGACTGTGACCATTATGCCAACATCTGTTGTTTGCTTGAGTCTCTAAAGTTGTTACTTAAGTCCTGCTTTTAAGAAAGAGAATGCAAATCATGTTTTTCTTTTTTTGTTCTGTATTACTCTTTCATCACATCAACCCTGGCCAACATGGCAAACCAAGCAAAAGCACTGTCATGCTTTATAGCAAATATAAGGGGTTAATAAATTATTAATATGGTTTTAAGTAGGTCAAGCCATTGTTTGAGAAGCCAATGGCTCAGTCAAATCAAAGGCTGTCTTGAGCCTCAGAGCGCCTTTGGCTGGCAGGGTAACAGCACATCACTTTCTGCAGGCCAACAGCACACAAGGAAGCAAAAGGCCAAAATGACCAGGTGCCCAGTTACAGCTGGGTGAGGAGCCAGAACAATGTAGATGTTAGGGCATCTTTAACTACTGAACCAGCACACCTGTTCAAGCAGGTCAGAAGGTCACTATTACAATGGCTTATACCCTTCTTTATCATATAGGGACTCTCTGAATAAATGGTTATTTGAACAAAGGGCCTGGGAAGCTCCTCCAAGTCCTGTGTTCCTGTTATTTGTGCCTGTAACAAACGCATAACAACTATTAATCACTTATTAACCCTTTTTGAAGAATTAGAAAGTGTGAGTGAAACCTCATAAACCAGGGGAGAAATATGTTCACACTGCTCTTACAGGTGACCTGCAATATTCTTATCATGGGAGAAGAGTGATCACTAGAAACACTGGTCTGTTACAAAATTTCCTGTCTTGGTACTTTCAGGATCAAGCAAAAGCCTCCACCCTGGGGTTACATAACTCTCCTTTCATCTTAAATCAAATGAACGGTGCTTAAAACAGACTTGTGTGCGTGTGTTTGTGTAAATATTTTACAACGCTGAGTGGATGTGTGGAGCTTTTTTACATTCAGTATTTTCAATTGTGGTTTACAGCGTGATGCTCCCAAGAAAATGTTCAAACCCACAAAGCAACTTCTGTCTGCGAGAGGGCCGTGCTCATGTCCTGCACTGCGAGACGGCCATGCTCTTATTCTGCACACTGGCTAGGTGGAGTTCTCAATTTCTTTTTTATGTGTATAGGGGAAATTACAGCATGGACTCAGGGACAAACAAGTGTATTGGGATTGTGAAAAGTGCGTAGTTTGGAACCGTTTGATTCTGATGCGTTTGGGTTTTTTTGTGAGGTTATTGAGTACTAATCTGCATGTCCTGACTCAGTTAAACTTGGCAGAATTCCTTTTAGTTTCTTTGCACAATCTGAGCAAAAGGCTCTGCTAGCAGCTGCTGCCTTTTTGGAAAAGGAACAGGTTTGGATTGGTATTAGCATAACTGTATCAGAGGCTGAGAGTTAGCGGCAGCCATGTTCTGCTAAGTGTCCACCTAGTAGTAGTCCTGCTTCATTTACGTGGGCTGATTCGCATGGAAATCACTGAAGCATAGCTTCCTCCTCTTGTAGGACTGAGTTAGTGTAAATTGCTATCCGTGTATTTTAAGCAATATGTTTGACAGGGCATCAAAGCCCCTGGGAGTCGTGAGCAGGTAGCCATGGGCTCAGAGCTGTGGTTCTGAGTCAGGCCCCCTCCACTTCTCTGAATGTGGCACCACTCCCAGTTGAGAACCATCATTGTGCTCAGCTGACCTCAGTCGTTCCTAATCAGGTGCTGCTGCCTCCAGGTAAAGCCGCCCTGTGCACCTCCTGTAGAGCCAGACTAGGGCTGTGGCACATGTGCACGCTCCTCCTGTAGTAAGGTTCTCTGATCAGGCAGGAGAGCTGGTTCATAGTCCAGGCCTCTCCACTGACCCTGCATGGTGTCTCCTGGAAACAAGCGCACAGGACAGGGGCAACTGTCCTGCATGCCTGTTTCCAGGAGCAATGTTCTGGATTGAGAACATGACCAGAAAGAGCTGAAGACTTGAGGCAACTCTCCTGCCTGCTTTAGGCTAAAAGGGAGCATGTGGGACAGTTTTACCTAGCCATAGCAGCAGTAGCACTTGTCTCACAGCACCCCTAGGAAAGAAGGGGTTTCTCAAAACACCCCAGTTGAGAACCACTGGCTCAGAGAGAGAGCTGAGAATACACCCATGTTTCACAGTGACCACAGCTGAACCTAGCTTTTGCTTTCTTCTTGAGTCAATGGGAGCAGGGTAGGGTGTGACTGGTGCAAAATGACTTGGAATTAGCCAGGTGGGATGAAAAATGGGAACAGTAGGGGAGGAGGCACCACAGCTGTTGTTTGTTCTGGAAGGAGTATTACTACTTTTGTTTCTTTCAGTTTTGTAAAAATTGCATGGTGGAAAAGAAGGGCAGCCCTTTACTGAAAAAAATAAGTATTCTTGGCTCAGATTTTCTTATCTGGACAGGGCTGCAGACACCACAGGCACAGACAAGATAAAAATAATTTCCTAAAAGGTCACAGGAGACAAGGCAGGCTTGGGGGCTTGGGGGGGGGGGGCAAGAGTTTTGGAGTGCCCTCCTGTTACTTCTCTGACCATGTAGCATTTAAGTGGAAACAGTAACGCCCCTCTCCCCAGCTCTATGTTTTCTGCTAAGTTCCCCTTCATGGAATCTGGAGTCAGAAGGGATGTAGGAGTGCAGGGTCTGTGAATGAATGATCCTGGCTTCTCAGAGTCCCCCCTCTCCCCCCGACCCAACTCTGACTGGCATGGGATTGGAGGTAAATCCTTTCATCTTTAGTGATTTGGGGAATCTTTTCAAGGGGATCCTCAAGGAGAATGCCATCCCATCTCCTACCCTTCTCCAAACACATTGCTTTTATTGTGTGTGGGGACAGTCTGCTCCTATTACAAGGCAATGCAGTGTTGCTTACAGGCCTGCGCCTTGGCCCCCTGAAGTAAGTTTTCTTCAGTAGGGGCAGAATCAGCCATTCAACATCCAATACAAAACCAGAAGCAATACCACCCTTTTATTTTAAAACACATGTTGGGGCCCACTTGAAAGTATGTATTCCACCACACTGTGAGTAGCACACTTTCTAATGCAGCTTAGTGAGTTGATCTTGCTCCATGTGGTGAATTCAAAAAAAGGTCAGAGACATTACAGCCACTGAGCTCTAGACTACAGCTATGGGACCAGGTTAATATTCATTTAGATACAACAGAATCTGTATACTGCATTTTGGCCAGGTTCCTCTTGCATTTAAAGGGTGATGAAAATTGGTTGCTGGGAGAGGATGCGAGTGCTGTGGAAGGCATCCCCTTTAACAAAAATACCCTGGAAATGGAGAAGATCTGTGCTTTTCAGTTATTGAAGAAGTCACTTAAAAAGATATTACAGCTATTTGTATTATTCAAAATGAAATCTGGCTACTATAGAATGTAGCTAAAAAACAGGATGTGTGCCAGAGAATGATTCTTAAAATTTTCATAAGCACCACACTACAACAGAAAAAAGAGTCACCTCTTTCCCTCCTACCCTGGACTTGAAATGCAACTTGTTTGCTCCTGGTTTGTAACAGAAGACACCTCGTGTGTCCGGCTGGTGCACCCATTCCCAGTTCGGAATGCAAGCTTGCTTTTTGGCATAGAACAGTAATGGAAAATAGTATTATGTTACTACTACCAACTGATGATTCATCCCATTTTCTATTCAGCCTCTCCCTCTTATCTTTAAATGTTTGTAATCAGTAGATTAATAATTATTAGCTGTGTAGGTATTGGGGGTCATTACAGTGCTTCTATCTCCAAGGAACACTTAAACAAACAAAAACATGTCTTTAGGGACAGTATAAACCCAGTTCTTCTTTCTCACCATTTTTAATTCCAGTGACCTCACTGGAGTTACTCCAGCCAATTTGATCCCAAAATAAGAGCAAGGTAAGGCACACCATAATATTTACTTGAGGTTCAGGTGCATCACTGGTCCCTGTAGAAGACAGATTATTATACAAAAAACAATGTCTCAAACAAGGCTTCATTTCATGTCAGCCTTGACCAATTGGAAGAGAAGTTAAACCAATTCCATTCTGTGTTTAGAACTGGTTCTGGAGCCACAGGGAAGACAGACAAGGGCAAATTGGGTATATTCTCCTCCGTCCATTCCTTTGGACCTGTTCTTTAGGATTTTTTGAGCTGCCAAAGGTGCAGCCACTTTTGAATATTTTTGGTGACCCATAGTCCAGGCTCTTATTCTGCTGAAGTGAAAGGAATTTTATTAACAGGCATAAGATAGAGAAGATTAAAGAACTGGTGGGAAAGGCTTTGGTGTCTCTATTATATCACTTGTGTTTTCCTTTGTGTGAGAATTGTGAACTTGCCCAATTTAAGAGGATACTGCCTCTTCCTTTTGTTCTGCCAAGAGAAAGCAGCCTGGAACTTGGAACACGCAACATCTGACTGCTTCTTGAGCTTATAACAAAGGGTTACCGCAATCTTGACTATCAAAAATAAGGGCCAGAGGCCTAATGTTGCCTCTGAGTTTTTGTGCCCTGCTCTGGGGCAGAAGCAAAAACTTTTTTGAAACAGTTGGTTCATGGAATTAATAATAATGCATTTTCCTTAAAAAGATGACTGTGAAAGAATAAACAGTTCCATTTGATACCTAAGATGATTCTTAGTATGCCATGTACCCTCTTTGCTTAGTAAACAAGTACAGTTTCAAGTTCTTACCATCTTTAATCCACTGTTTACAAGGTGAAACAGGATGCCAGTTATCTATCACCTGATGAAACTTTAAGGCTGTACACCTATCTAAACCGCTTGGTCAAAACCAGAATCCCCAATAGTAGGCCTGGTCTGGTAGACACTTAGGACATGTTCATTTCACTGATACAATTCAGCAGATGTTGCCTCTCTGTCCTTGTGTCTACAACTAGCAACCCTTCTTTCAGTAGGCACCTGCTTTGAATTACTGTTACAATAACTGCTATTGCCACTGCTCAGTCTTCCATCATGGCAACTCATCAGAGACTGAATGAAATCCTAGCTCCTTTGAAGCCAATGGCAACACTCCCCCTGATTTCAACTGAGCAGTATTCCACTTTCCACCTACATGGGGTGGGATATCTTACTCTTTGTAAGTGGAGGAAACCCCTCCTCCCCAACAGTATGTAAATTGAAAACTGGTCTCACAGGAGAAGAAACCTAAAGCATCTTTGACTTTCCACATTCACCTTGCCTACAAACTGAGGTGCAAAACTGACAAACTATTTTAAACATAATTCTTACTGCGAACAACATTTGTTCTCAGTTTTGTTATTTAAAAATAGCTTTTGCAGCTCTGGAGATTAGGGAACAGTTCATACTGTAATAGCAACATTGTAATGTCTTTTCTACTGTATCATAACTATAATGTAGCATTTGAGTGTTGCAATATTTTATTTGTATATATCAATCCCCACAACTAGGTATTCCACTTGTGATACTCATCTATATGCATTATACCTCCTCATACTGTATTGATTGTGTATGTGCCTTTCACCATTTTGCATGGTTTAGTATCTTTTTAAAACAGCTGCAGAACTTGAAAAAATTAGGGAACTAGAGTTAAAGTCCTATGCAAAAGAGAACTGGGAATTTAATTGAAAAATCCTGCATATGTACACTGTTCTGGGGAAAAAAATCTAGTGCTGGGATTTTCAAGAGCCAGACAGAATTAGGCCCCCACATCCCAATATTTTGAATCTACAAGATTTAGGTATCCTTTGAAAACCCCAGCTTAAAATCTGATTTCTCACCACTTTGTGAGCGAAAACATCATAGTAAGAAGACATAATTACCACCAGCACTTTGCCAAAATAGACTGTATGTTGAATATCCATTTTTTTCTTTCAAAGGTTTGTCTAAAGAAAAAGTGCTATTTGGTTTGAAAGGGTTGCCTTAAAAACCTTTTAAAAATGAGTTTGAGAACTATTTTCTGATTTGCTCACCTCTTTCCCCTTTCCTTCACACCACCACTCTGAAGAATAGCAAATGGCATGTTTGTGTGTAGTTGGCTTGTTTAGAATACAAATATTCTAGGAACAATAAACCCCAAAAGATCAAGCAGATACAGAATCACTAGGAGTTTATCAGCTCCATTCTGTCAAGGAGTTGATTTACATGTGAGAATCTATTGTATGCCTTACAATAGCAGAACAGCTTTTAAAATAGGGGTTTTGAGTAGACAAGAGCCCCACATTTTCTACATCACTTATACTGTAGAACTGAAACCTAGTTCAAAACAAAGCTAACAAAAAAATCCTCGTTGTGTGTTACATGTTAAAGCAATGTAAGTAAGCCTAGTAGAAAGAGGGAGTCTATTTCTTGTAGGACATTGTTTAAACATTTGCAATGTGTTCATGGACTGAAGGATATGACTGCCTGGAACATGTTATGTGGTGTGCCTGTGTGTATGTAATATGGTTTTGGTTGTTAGATTGTAATGCTGTCCTTTGACTGAAAAAAAAATCTAATATAAAAAGGAAAGAACACAGAAATAAAAATATATTTAAAGCCTACTTAGTTTTGTCTGTTCTGGGAAAGCATATAAGGAACCAGATAATAGTAAATCATGTTATGTCCACAACCCCAGGAATGTTCTGTCCAGGGAGTAAAAGTCCAAAATGAAGCCTAGATTTAAAAAAAAAAAACCTTGAAAGGACCAACTGATTGATGTCTTCAGTTCAGCATTTTCGTGTTACTTTAATCTGTTTGTTACCTGAAGATTATTAAGCAATGTTTTTTTTTATTTCAGCATGGATATTATACACAAGATTTCAGTGTAACAAGCCTGCATCAAGCGTCACAGTCCCATCCCTGACAAATGCAAAGTTTGGTTGGGTCCCCTTCTAGCATAAAAGTACAGTTCCCCTTCTAGAATAAAAAGTCAGTGAAAACAAGATAAAATAAACTTCAGCTCAGTGTGATTCTTGGTACAGCATGTATTTGTCTTGTGTACAATGGCAGATGATCTTAACAGCCATACTGCTAATGACTTTCCTGGAGCTCGGTAGGTATTATTACCCTTAAACAAAACAAAAAAAGTGAACAAGAAAATACTAGACAGACTTCTGTTACTTTCCAAAGCTGGAGTAGCTTTCTACTTCCAAGCCAGAAATATTTGTGGGCTTTAACTTTAGCAAAGCTTTACATTATACCTATTTACAGAAGATAACTGAGCAAGGCAAGGTCTCAAGAAAAGATGACTACGCTCAGTGGTAGGAAGGCAACTCTCCACCAGTGGCATAGGAGTAAAGAAACGAATAATACTGCTTGGGAAAAACACAGAAGAAAGGAGAAGCAGAAAATGAGAGAGAGGATAGGATGGAGGGCAAGCAGAGAAATACCAGTGAGTATAAAGGAATAAACTTGAGACTAACTGGAAGACATTCACTACTCCATTAAGGAATATAATTCTTGGTTGCACCTTGTGAAAGTTGTGGTTTGTTTACAGGGAAACTTTATTAGCATTTAACAATTTTTGAAGGAGAGATTGCCCCCCACGCCCCAGGGAAAAAACTGCATGCACTTTTCCAGGACAGCTTATACTGCTTCCAAAAAGACATGTTAAACCAGGGAGGGAAACACCGTTATTCCAGAAAGATGGTATCCACATGGACAGTTATACTGATACAGAATCATACAGGTAATTTCCATGCATGAACAAAACCTCAGGGTTTACTGGAGGACTCAAAGACAGGACTAATACTGTATTTCTTCTCCCAAAAACAGACAGCCATCCTACGCTGATTGATCAAAGGGGCAGCCCTGGGGGAGCAAACAATTTCCACTGAATGCAAGTGCCTAACAGGAACCAACCTATACAAACCACAGTTTTGCAGTATCTTTGCCCCCAAAACACCACACTGACCAGTGGCTTCATAGAATCATAGAAAATTAGGGTTTGAAGACACCTCAGAAGGTCGTCTCGTTCAACCCCCTGCTCAAAGCAGAACCAGCCCCACCTAGATCATCCCAGCCAAGGCTTTGTCCAGCTGGGTCTTAAAAACCTCCAAGGATGGAGACTCTACAACCTCTCTGGGTAACCTGGAGTGCTTTACTACCCTCCTAGTGAGAAAATATCTAACCTAAGCTTCCCTTGCTGCAACTTGAATCCATTGCTCCTTGCTCTGTCATCTGCCACCACTGAGAAAACTCTAGCTCCATTGTCTTTCAAACCTCACTTCAGGTAGTTGAAGCCTTCTATTAAATCCCCTCTTAGTTTTCTCTTCTCTTCTCTAAATTAAATTTAAGCCCAGTTCCCTCAGCCTCTCTTCAGAAGTCATGTGCCTCAGCCCCCTCACCATTTTTGTTGCCTTTGGCTGGACTCTGTCCAATTTGTCCAAAACTGAACACAGTACTCCAGATGTGGCCTCTCCAGCGCTGAATAGAGGGGAATAATCACTTCACTTGACCTCCGGCAACACTCCTACTACCAATGCAGTCCAGTATACCATTAGCCACCTTGGCAACAAGGGCACGCTGTTGGCTCATATTCAACTTATTGTCTACTGTAACCCCAAGGCCCTTTTCCACAGAGCTGCTGCCCAAGCAATCAGGCCCCAACCTGTACTGGTGCATGGGACTGTTTCATCCTAAGTGCAGAACTTTGTACTTGACCTTGTTGAACTACATGAGATTTATTTTGGCCAAATCCTCCAATTTGTCTAGGTCACTCTGAATCTTAGTCAAACCCTCCAGTGTATCTACTACTCCCTGCATCTTGGCGTCATCTGCAAATGTGCTGAGGGTGCACTCTGTGCCATCTTCTAGGTTGTTGATGAAGAAGATACTGAACAAAACTGACCCCAGGACCAACCCGTGGGGCACTCCACTTGATACCAGCTGCCGACTAGATATCAAGCCATTCATCGGCGACGAGTAGCGGATGCATGTGCACACCCTGAGCTTGGCAGTGCACCCCCTACAAAAAGTGCCACTGACATTGCGGGCAGCACCTGTGGCCAGTCACCGCTCACCCTCTCCTCCCCCCTCGCTGCCGCTGGCGTCTGCAGGCAGTCCGTGATTGCCGCTGGCCACCAGCACCAGCTGCCACCGCCGGCATCTGCAGGTAGTTGCTGACCGCTGGTCAGCGTTCGTCATCCCTTCCCTCTCTGCCACCAAAAACTACTGCGGCTGCCTGTGGGAGCTCCCTGCTTGCCACCGCCATGCTGCCACCGCCGCCTGTGGGCGGTCGCCACACCCCCACAGCCTCCGGGGGCACACAGCATTCATGAAGCCATTGACTACTACCCTCTGAGCCTGATGCTCCAGCCAGTTTTCTATCCACCTTACAGTCCATTCATCCAGCCCTTAGCTTGCCTGCAAGAATGTTGTGAGAGACTGTATCAAAAGCCTTGCTAAAATCAAGATATACCAATATCCACTGGTCTCCCTGCATCTACAGAGCCAGTCATTTCATAACAGAAGGCAGTCAGGTTTGTCAGGTTTGACTTGCCCTTGGTGAATCCATGATGACGGTTCCTAATCACCACCTTTGCTCCAAGTACTTAAAAATGGATTCTTTGAGGATTTGCTCCATGATTTTTCCAGAGACTAAGGTGAGGCTGACCAGCCTGTAGTTCCCTGGATCCTCCTTTTCCTTTTCCTAAATATGGACACTATACATTTGCCCTTTTCCAATCATCCAGGATCTCTCCTGCAGGCCTGTACAAAGTGGCTAGTATTCGCTTCAGATTTGGATTTGGCCAATTCAGGGGACAGTGATTTGATTTGGTGATTCGAATCACTGTCTGGAATCAATTCAGCCGAATCTCCAAAATCACCCAGGCCAGGCCCATCCTCCGCCCGCTCTCCCAGCCTGGCAATGGCAGCCCCGCCCACCCCAGCTCCCGCCCTTTGAGAAAAATACCCCCAAAAACCCCACACTCGCCATTCCTGCCTGGTGCGGGGGTGATCCCCAATGCCCCATGCTGCATGGGGTGCTCTACATGAGCCCCCAAACCCCCGAGGTCGCTGCAGGAGTGGTGAGTCCCATGGTTTTTCTCATTTTTTTTTTTTTCTTAAAGGGCTGGAGCTGGGGTGGGCAAGGCAGCCATGGGGGGCTGGGGGAATGAGGGAGGGGACTGGGGGGCTCGTGGCAGAGCTCCCCATGCAGCATGGGGCAGCGGGGGCAGCAGGGATCACCCTCCTGCTGGGCAGCACCCAGTGAGTGGGGGCTTTTTTTTAAAGCACCAGGAGCTGGGGTGGGCGGGGCA